ACACTGATTTTGTAATACTGTTTTCGGTCTAAGTTACTGCATTACTAACAATCATTCTGTTACAATGCAGGATGTATTCTTTGGTGTTTTGGATGCCACTGAAGGACTTCTACGTGGTGTTAGGAATATGATAGGAAAGATTATTCTCCCTGCTATCCTCGCAACAAATAGTTGGGGTGCTTTAAGTCAGACCAAACAAGATACAAAAGACAAACAGAATTTCATGGAAACAATTAACAGATACCTTTCATTTTTAGACGGTAAACATTACATTTAGAGAACAATAAAAGCAGAGGAATTTAACTTAAGTATTTCCGTTTAAAGTCAGTAGCACATAGGTAAGGACTTTTTCCCATTCTGCAAGGAGAAAAAAACTATCAGTTGCTTCCTTAATAAATGCATTGGTCAATTATTTATTTAAGAAAATTCTCCAGTGATATGTTACTTATGAGGAGGAACACTAGATTTAAAGTAAGAATTTTCTGTTTTGTATGTGTGCAGTAAATGGCTATTATATTGAAACAACACAGATTGCAGACATGTATTCCCAAATTTGAGTTGCTTACACCAGTAGAAATTAATTTTAGAGTCTTAGTTGATTCTGTATTGTAATTGCTTTTTTTTTTTTCAGGGGCTGTAATAAGCATTGAAGGAACTATTGAGTTGAAAAACATAGATTATATTAATTTTTCTGAACTCTGGTCCTTTGAGAAAGTAACTGCAGCAGCTGATAATCCTGACATGGTTCACCAGCTAGAGGAAGTATTTATGATATGGTATAGACAAATTGAATGGGTAAATTGTTGTTTTAACATATCAGTCAAGCATGAATATGGGTAGATATTTATAAGTGATATGTGAGAGTTGCCTGAAGTCAGTTGAAGGCTTCAACTGTATGTCCGCATGAGTAAGAGTAGCGCTTCACTTCTATGCACAAGTGAAGTTAAGTAGGTAGTCCTTATCCCTAGGAACTTGCAGTCTAGCAAGAATAAGAGTTTCTGAACAGTTAATACACAAATAATAAGAAGGAGAGGACAGAAGGATGCAGGAGTAATAACACTGGCAAGGACCACATATATATACAATTAGGTATACTCTATACTTTACCTGTTAAGTTTCTCCTGCCAGTCGTTGATGTGAGACACTACTCTTAGAAAGATCTTTGAACAGTCTCATTAGGGCATTTTTGATCCTGTGTCAATCTTACTTGGTAAGGTCTCAGTTATCCAAGAAATTAATATCTGAGACTTCCATGATAAAGCATAGAACCCTTTGCCAAAATACAGAATCTGCGTAGGCTGGGACATACTCCACTTATAAGAACATACTATGTTTAGTGTGTCTTGCTCACGACAGTAAAAATGTAAAAGAACGTAAGAAGAGCTGACTGCATGTTTAGCAACATACAAATCAGTACATTTGTGCTTTGATATTTCAAGTTTTTATTAAAATATTTCTTCATGTTTTTTTTACAAGTGAAATTACATTTGGTGCATTTCAATCCATAGATTCTGATTAAAGAAAAAAATATGGATGTATGCTGAGATTCACCCAGTTTATGACAGCAGCTGAATATTAGTTGCCTTTATTTCAGTTTAAGAATATCATGAAGTACAACTCAGACTTAGGATACTTTTCCAAATCAGAACCATTTTCATGTGTCAGTAACTGCAAGCTTGTTCCTTTTTAACTTGGTATTCTCAGAGTGTTTCTTCTCTTCTTTATAATAATTTGTTTATTCTCTATAGTAGATATTTAGGTTTTTTTTTTCAAATTGGTTGCAGGTTCTGATTGAGAGTAAGCAGATGAGGAAAGAAGCTGATGATTCAGGTCCGCTGACTGAACTAGAGCACTGGAAATGTATGTCTGCTAAATTTAATTTTATTATTGAGCACATCAAAGGACCAAACTGCAAAGCTGTCATTAATGTTCTGAATGTTGCACATTCTAAACTACTAAGGGTAACTATTGTTTTTCTTTTTTTATGTTAATTTTTAATATAGAAGACAAAGCTTGCAATATTTATTTTGTTTCATTGCATCAAAGAGAGATTTCCTGAGAAGTGAGTGGAAAATTTAGGTGTGGTGCTGGTGTGCTTAATATAGTAAGAGAAAGAATAAGATATTTTGAGAAATATAGACAAAAATTATCGTAAATGAAAATAAATTTTATTGCCTGCTTTGACAATGCCTTTTAAAAATTAATTTACCAAAGTTTACTTCCAGAAAATCAGTGCAAGTTAAAGAAATAATTCACTATGTATGAAGTTTTTTACAGTACTGTTTTCCCTCTAGATGTGGCAAGAGCTAGAAGCCAGAATCACAGATGCAGCAAATGAATCAAAAGATAATGTGAAATACTTACACACACTTGAAAAAGTTTGTCAGCCACTTTATAACTGTGATCTTGTAAGTATGCTTCTCATCATCTGTCATCTAATCTGGAATTCTGTAAAACCTTTGACATGGTGCCCCACTATGTCCTCTCTAAATTGGGGAGATATGGATTTGATGGGTGGACTGTTCGGTGGATAAGGAATTGGCTGGATGGCTGCATCCGGAGGGTAGTGGTCAATGACTTGATGTCCAAATGGAGACCAGTGAAAAGTGGTGCCCCTCAGCAGTCTGTACTGGGACCAGTACTGTTTAATATTTTCATCAATCACATAGACAGCGGGATTGAGTGCACCCTCAGTAGGTCTGCAGATGACACCAAGCTGAGTGGTGCAGTTGACATACCAGAAGGGCAGGATGACATCCAAAGAGACCTGGACAAGCTGGACAGGTGGGCCCATATGACAACCTCATGAAGTTCAACAAGGCCAAGCGCAAGGTCCTGCACCTGGGTCAGGGCAACACCCGGTATTAATATAGGCTGTGGGGTGAAGGGATGGAGAGCAGCCCTGCTGAGAAGGATTTGCGGGTGCTGGTGGATGAAAAGCTGGACCTGTTGGACCTGTTCACGCAAGAAAAGTGAGCCTGGTTTCCAGCACCTCTCAGCGTGCAGGAGAATGAGGTGAGGGCGGGAAGGGAAAGCGGAGGATTCCCAAGCACAAAGCGTGGGGGGGACAGACTTCTGGCTCTCCTGTGGACAGCTGAGGTGCCTTGACCAGCTCTCCGCCCTTGGCACGGCGGTGCGGATAAAGCGGCTCACCCACCTGGCTGGAGCTATGCCTCACGCCGCGGGGAGAGGGGAGCAGCCCCCCCCGAACAACCACCA